GAGGAGGGCTGGTTATTGCTTCTCTCCCTCCTAGGGCCCTTCCATGGCTTCACAGGAGAGGGTGGACGCAGTGAGCAATGGAACCGGGTTCCAGCGCTGCGGTAAGCAACTCGCTTACACGCCGGGAACCTGCGAGCTGCTCAGAGGTCAGTGCTTTAGAGGAACAACGATAGGAGACTGGGATTCTGAAAGGCTCAAAGGACGGCAACTTTAGGAGTGGTTAGCTCATCTTTACATTGCACTTTCAATGAAGTTTATCTCCTCCCTACCACACACAGTAAGACCCTCTCACACAGTATCAGATCCAATTCCTTTCACTGGGCTTAGCACAATATATTGTTCTTATAGGCGTTTAGTTTCCCATCTATCACCTTTTTTTTTTAAGATTTATTATTTTTATGTGCATTGATGTTCTGCCTGCAAGTATGTCTTTGTGAGGGTGCCAGCTTCCTTGGAACTGGAGTTAGAGACTGCTGGGAAATGAACCCAGGTCCTCTGTAAAACAGCCAACCAATGCCTTTTCCCTGAAACAGGCTTTCTCTGTGTAGCTTTGTCCTGGAACTCACTCTGTAGACCAGGCTGGCCTCGAACTCACAGAGATCCATCCGCCTGCCTTTGCCTAGAGTGATGGGATTAAAGGCGGTTCACCACCACTTCGTGGCCAGCCAGTGCTCTTTAAAAAATAAATAAGTTTAATTAATTTATACATAGTTATTTTTCTATTTTCAACTCCAAATATTGTAAGTAGCAACAGACTTTAGTTAGGCATGGTAGCATAAACCTTTAATCTCCATACTGAAGAGAGGGAATGAATCCCGGTGTAGTGGAGCACACCTTTAATCCCACCAGCCAGTGCTCTTAACCACTGAGTCACCTCTTCAGCACCCCCCAGATATCACCTTCTAAATGATGAATGACACCAGACAAAGTGCCTGTTCCTGCTCACAATTGTGGCTTCAGCCTCTGATATGTAAATGAACATTAATACATTAATTTATTCAACAACTAAAAAACCTAATATGTGATTTGGATATTATCCTAAGTACTGGAAGTAGAATGTTAAGGGGATTGCAACAAACAAAAAACATTCTTGCTCTCATATAGCTAACAGTATAGGTGTTTTTTTTTTTGGGGGGGGTAGGGATTGTTCCTTTTCTATTTATTTATTCACCTATTTATATAAAAAATTATAGAGCTGGGGTATAGCTCAGGAAGACCTCTGCTATAAATAGTGTCAAGTGAGAAAATGAAACAAGCAGAAGAGCATGAGTGCTTAGTTGAGAGTTGGGGAGGCAGAGCTACAGTGTGGGGTTCAGGCAGGGTGAGACATGCTGAGACACAGAGTGCTTTATTTTACAGTGATGATGAAGGAGTCCAGACTGACTAACTTTCAGCAACGACACATCATGGACACCGTGAAAAGTAAGGTCACTCAAGAGACTTCCTGGGCAGAGGAACCAAGGATACATGGAGCCTATCCTGGCACTCGCTCTGGAGGCCACACTGGCCTCGTTTTTTTGTTTTTTTGAGACAGGGTTTCTCTGTGGCTTTGGAGGTTGTCCTGGAAGTAGCTCTGTAGACCAGGCTGGTCTTGAACTCACAGAGATCTGCCTGCCTCTGCCTCCCAAGTGCTGGGACTAAAGGTGTGCGCCACCAACGCCTGGCATCCAAGGATATATTTTTAATGCTCCTCTGTATGAAAGGGAAGGGGAATTTATTTAAAAGGACAGAGATGAATTTATTTCAAAGTCAGACTTGATAATGTACATCTCTAGTCCCGGCATTCAGGAGGCAGAAACAGGCGGATCTCTGAGTTTGAGGCCAGCCTGGTCTACAGAGTGAGTTCCAGGACAGCAGGGCTACACAGAGAAACCCTGTCTCAAAAAAACAAAAAACAAAAAACGAAGAAAAAAAAAAAAACAAAAAACCTGGGCTGTGTTTTTGGCTTAGTTGGTAGAGCCCTTGTCTTAGATGCACCAAATCCTGGATTTCATACCCAGCACCAACCACATCAACTACGTGTAGTGACACATACCTACAACCCATGCACATGGAAGGTAGAGGCAGGAAGACCAAAAGTTTAGAGTCATCTTTAGTTCTATAGGGGGTTGGATAGAGACCCTGCCTCTAAAAAAAGCATAAACCAAAACACAGGGCTGGTGAGATGGCTAAGCAGGGAAAGGTGCTTGCTGCCAAGTGTAACAATCTGAGTTTAGTCCCTAGAACACAGATGGTCAGAGAGAACTGATTCCTGTAAGTTGTCCCCTCACCCTCTCTCTCTCTTTCTATTCTCTCTCTCTCTCTCTCTCTCTCTCTCTCTCTCTCTCTCTCTCTCTCTCTCTCGTGCTCGCATGCTAAAAAAACAAAATAAAAACACCACGCCAAAGACTCAATGTATAAGAATGTTTATTGCAGCATTGTCAGAAGTAGTAAAAATCCACCCCCCCCCCAAAAAAAAACAGAGAGAACCTGAATGACTGGCTGAATAAATAGTGTGGTCACTCTAACAACTAATACATTGCTATAAAAAAATAAGTTACATATAAATGCATCTTTATGGAAAGTTGGTCATGATAAATTGTAAGTGAAAAGGGTCTGTTGTTGACCATATGGTATGATCCAGTGTTTAAGAACCATATGTGTAACATACCAAACAAAACATCCTTGGATGTGTGTTAGAAGCATCAAGAACGAGGAGCAACCACCTAATTGTTCCTACAGCCTGCCCAGGAGCAGGCTGAGAGGTCCAGACTGTCCACGCTTTGACTTCTAACTGGAAGCCACCATTTTTCTTTGAAAAGAAAGACAAACAGGTGCTGTCACTTGGCCCTTCTATTCCCAGGAGGAGCCCCTCTGCCCCTGCAGTGCGACCCAACATCCAGCCACAGGGGTTCTCCTTCCAAGAAGCCGGCTACAGCCACCTACCTGCCTCCCATCCTGGCTACCCACTCCCACCTCCGGCCTGCGAGCATGTGTCAAGCCAATGGGGCATACAGCCGCGAACAATTCAAGCCTCAGGCCACCAGTATGTGACCAGCTTAGGCTAGGTGCTCCCTTCTGTCTTCTGGGGTCATAGCAGCCTGGGACAGACAGCACCATTCCAGTAGTGGGTAACAAACGCAGGCAGGTGACCCTCTTTATCTTCCTATGGCTGTTTTCAAATTAATGCAGCTTTCCTAATCCCAGAAAGACACATGGCTGTCAACTGCTTATCTTCCCAGCCCCTCAAGTCCATTTCCTCTGCACTGGAGCCCACATCTGGGAGCCCCTCCTGTGGCCTCTAACAGTGCTTCTGACCCAGAACCCCCCAACATCCCTACAGTCCCCCCCCCACAGGACACCTCAGAGGCCTGTGTTTCTGGGTTCTCTCTTAGCTCTGCACTGAGATATTCAACTGCTAACCTGACATGTTCTGCTCAGGAACAGCCAGGGGAGGGGCTGGGTCTGCAGCAGCCCACTCTTCTCAACCCAGACACCCTGCAATGTGCACAGACAAGGGAAACAGCTGCTCTGCACCTTAACAAGACCATTTCTGGGCCCTACAGGAGATCTGGAGAAGGAGAAACGAAGACTTCAAAACATCTTTGCCAATGGGAAGGACATAGAGGAACGGAAAAGGGCTCCTCATGGGCTGCAAGAGGACCCAGCTCCCGAGCTGGACCGGTTTGAAGAATGTGAGCGTGCGCATGCGCACGCATGCGTGTGTGCATGTGTGCGTGTGTGCGTGTGTGTGTGTGCGCGCGAGCGTCTGTGTGTGTGCGTGTCTGTGTGTGCATGTGGAGTGTAGAATTGATGAGGCTGACTTGATACAGACCCTCCCCCACTCTCCCTTAGAGACCATGCACTGCCTGGGCCCCTGTGTATGCCCACTGCCCTATGCACTGATAACCCTTCCCCTCTGTGCAGTGGTGAAGGAAATCCAGGACAGGAAAGAATTCTTGGCTGCCATGGAGGCTCTTGGACAGGGCAAGCAATACAGAGGAATGATACTGGCTGAAATCTCCCAGGTAAGAGAGCCCACACAAGTGGGGAAGAGGAGCTCCAGCCAGAACTATGGCTAGCCCTCTCAGGTGGCAAGCTCCCACCACGGTGGCCTGCCCTGACAGCAGTTCTTCCTGATGGCCCTTTGCAGAAACTACAGGAAATGGAGGAAATTGACCGCAGTAGGAGTGAGAAGCTTAGGAAGGCTCTTGCCACCACTTAATCCAAGGGTGGGCCAGCCCAATGTGACCACCAGAGCAGCATGACTGACAAGCAATGTCATCCCCAGGTCTGCCCACCCACAGGGGCCACCATGATGTGGCACTGTCCTGGAGCACAAGACAAGACACTGCCCAGGGATGCAGAGGCCTCAGTGGTCCCCCTGAGCTACTGTCACAGCCAGTGTTGAAGCCTTCTCTAGGGGAAAGAGCCCCAGACCTACCACGTTGACACCGAGGCTCACCACCTTGGACATTTGCCTAAGGGCACCCTTTCTCTGGCTCTCCTCCTGCCACAGCTGGCTGCCAGGTGCTCTGTGAACACAATTCTGCCCTTCCTATATCTTAGGATCTACTTTTTGCCTTCTTATAGCCTTGGGCAAATGTTTGACCACAATGATTAATTGGCCAATAAAACACATTTAACTTGGTCATGACATGTTCCGCCTTGTTTCCACAGAGATAAAGTCTATAACTGCTGTTTGCATATTTCCAGAGGAACAGGGAAACAAGGTTCCTGATCAGCCTGCAGTCAGTGCTGATGCTCAAGACTGCAGTGTGAGAACTCAGGTTCACCAAGACACTCCATCCTGGTAGTTACTGCAAAGGAGGCCACTCAGGGTTAGAGGTCAACTTCATGGCTTCCACCAAACCATGACTATGGGAAGAAGCATAACAGAGGGATCCACACTGAAAGGGCCCTGGCAGGTGCCACAGCCTTGGTTCCAGTTCCTTTCAAGTGCCTCTGAGGCCCCAACCTGAAGGAAAGTAGCCTGCTCCCCACCTGGTATGTCACCCGCAACTGACTGACTTCAGGCTGCTGACACTGATCAGCCTGACCTGCACTAGTATTCTATCATTTTCCAGTCTCTATTTCCTGCACCTGTCATTACTCCCATAATCCCAATAAAACATACAATCTGTCTTCTTGCCCAAGAATATACACAGCTACTATGCAACAGCCAGCAGATAAGGGTCAGGTCAGTAGGGACACGCCTACCACCTCACAGGCCTCAAACACTAGAAAATCCAGGACAAGTGTAGCCCAGTGTGGCAAACTCAGATCTGATGTCAGCATTTATAAATTATGCCAGTACAAAAACTGGATTCTGGGGTTCTTTTGAAAAGTGGGCAAGATCTAGCAAGCCTGGGCCCACGTTCACAGAGTACAGGTGACTTCTGTGAGGAAGGCTGTTCCCTTGAGACATGGAAATGTTCCTTGACACTGAGACAGCCTCCTGATGAGGCCCACCCTTGAGTTACAGCAGCTGGGTCACAGAGCCCCTCTGACCTCTGAGGCGGTGGGCCTGGCTCCATGTCAAAAGTGCATTTGGAAAGACTGCCAAGGGCTATATGGGAGTGAGCAAGCACCTCTCCCCAAACAGGAAGGGAATCCCGCCCATAGTAGGCGGCTATGGTCAAGTTCCCAACTGCATGGACAGCCCAGACCCTCCTGGGGTGACCAGATGCCTGAACATGAGGTGGAGCACAGACAGGCATAAGGGCATAGATGTGGCTGTACCCAAGGCTACAGGGCACTGGCAACTGAGGTACAGTGTATTCCTTCCCTGGATGCACAGAGGGAGGGGTGCTGAAGACCCCAAGAGCAAGAACAGTGCTTGGACCATAAGCTGCCTGGCATATTTCCTAGGGAAAAGAGGTACCCCATCACCCTTCTCCCAGAGCCGCCCAGGGGTAAGTGGTCATCAGTCCTTGGAGGGAATAGACAACAGAAAAGACAGGCTGCACCAACCACAAAAAGGAATGGGTCCATCCCCTGTGCATGGGGTGGGCAGAAAGCCTGCATCAGAGGTCAGACTACAACACTTTGGAGAACAAAGGTTAGCACCTACCCAAGCACGTGTTCCTAGGCTAGTCTAAGTCACTGCCTCAGCACAGCTACCAGGTCCTCGTGTGGTGGCTGAGACGTCCCATGGAGCAAGGGAGATGAGGGAGGCAGAGGAAGCAGTGTATTCCCAACTGACACAACACAGCACTCACAGAGGGGCCAGAATTTGAGACTTCATAGAGCTCCTGGGTGAGGGGACATGACTTTCAAGGGCACCTGTGTTAGACAAGGCAGGGACTAGGGGTCAGGGTTGAGAAGGAGGAAGTTGGGCTGCACAAGCCCTATGCCGGGGCCTGCCTTGGGCAGGACTGATAAGGAAGACTCCATCTGGCCTGGTTCAGAGGACCAAGGAGACCCACTGCCTCTGCCCAGACCCTGCATCCCTGCTTGCCCCTGGGCCTGTCACAGCATCTGGAGTCAGAAGCCAAGTGGACAGGGCTAAGTCACAGCTGTCTGGGACATAGGGAAGAGGGAAAAAAAAAACTTTAGCCTAGACCATCTGGAGAGCCCTAAGGAGGGTGAAGCTCATGCAGGGACTCCCTCCCAAGGTCATCATCCCTCTTAGCAAGTATGAGAGCAGCAGAGTGCTGCTCTAGCCTTGAAGCTCCACAAGAGGAGAGGAAGTCGCTTCCCTTGCCATCAGCTCTTGTCCCCGGGGACCTTGCTTTTGGTGTCGCGCTTGTTGCCCAGCAGCTTCAGCATCTTCATAGTCTTAAACTTGCCTTTCTTCTTACCCTCAGACTCAGCCTCTCTTTGGAACTCTGCAAAGAACAAAGGTACTCAGTCAGGAAGGGAGGGGAGCACTGGGGGCCAGATGGAGCAGTGGCCAGTGTCACTGAGCAGGTATGTGTCCATCAAGGCTCCAGTCCATTCATGAACCAAGTCATGTCAATGTACCAAGTCTCCCTTTTCTCCCTGAGATCCACACATCGGTGAGAACAATCTGGAACCTCTGAGGCAGGAGTGCTCAATCTGGGGTATATCAGATACTTATGATTCATAACAGTAGCAAAATTAGTTATGAAATAGCAGCAAAATAATTTTATGGTTGGAGTCACCAAAACACTAGGAACTGTATTAAGAGCCTGCAGCATTAAGAAGGTTGAGAACCACTGTGAGATGTAATAGCTCAGATCACCTGTACTGAAATACGTAGCTCTATAGACTACAGCAGAAATACTGAGTGCCAGGACTAGGGAACACCTCAGAAACCACCTGCCCAAACCTCGAACTCTCACAAAGAAAACATGTGTCTCTGAAAAGAAGCAGTGCCACCCACGCACTGTAGGTGCCTAACCCAGGATGGTAACACTACCCATGCACTTGGAGGTGTCTAACCCCAGGCTGGTGCTCTACACAGTCAGCTCCATAACCCTTGGCCCACTTGGGAGAGAGGTTCCATCACAACAGCAGTGAAGTGAGGGCTGACAGAACTGGCTCAGCCACCCAACTTGTCTCCAAGCAGGGACCAGAAGCCAGTCTGGCTCCAGCCTCATCTAAGATGTACCCAGAAGGCCACACAGTGAGCCACAGGTGGAATCAAGGTCAATCCCCGAGCCCCTCTCTTGGTACAGCAACCTTAGCCACTCTGGACACTCTAACCCTGAACAAGCTTGAGGTTCCCGTGCTCCTAAGCTAACCTGCAGAGCTCTGGGCAAAACCACGCTGGGCCAAGGCTCCCTGGTAGACCACAGTCCTTCTATAGACAAAAGGGAATCCCCTGGCTTCCCACCCAACCTGAGCCACAACTACACTGCTGACTGCCTCCCTCATTTCATTTGGCTTCCCAGCAAAATAGAGCCTGGGACTTCACATCACAACCAGTCATCCCTACAGGACGGAACCTGCTCAACCTCCATTTCCAGGTTGCAAACACAGGCCCCTCCACAGGGTGAGCCTCACCTTTCTTCCTGATCATAGCTTCCAACATCTTGTCTTCCTCCTCTTCCCTGGGGTGGAAAAGACAAGCTGAGTGCCCACAGCACCAGGTCATTTGTGAGTCCCTTCCTGCCTCTAGGCCCCACAGGACTGGGCAAGTGTGAGGGAAAGCTGGCAGTGAGGGTAGGGCTAACTTTCTCCCAGGCTCTGCCAGGAAGTGGCTCCACCCATGGGGTCCCAGGCATGGCACCTCTGCCGGTCTTCATCCAGGCAGTTGACAATGGCATTGCGCTGGTCGATAAGGGTCATGAATTCCTGCAGCAGCACCTTCTCTCTGGCCCGATCCTCCTCTGTCCAGTCCTTTTCTGCCAAAGGAGAAAGCCAGAGTGAGTGATGGGGAACCTTGTCTTCACAATAGCAGACACACCACCTGAGTTCCTGGGAAGACTGTAGGCCATCCATATGGGTTGAGAGGAGGGCCCAGAGTGCCACTCACAAGCTCTTAGAGAGATGAAGATAGTTCTAGGAGAAAACCAAGAACACTTGGCTATCCACCAAAAACCGTTCAAGCGATACACTGTAGAGCCAGAAATTCTCAAGGGCCTCCTGCCCACCAAACACTGTTCAAGGACACCATGCAGGGCCAATGTGCCCACCAAACACACCATTCAAGGACACTGTGCAAGGCTGGCAATTCTCAAGGGCTTTCTGTATACCAAACATACTGTTCAAGACACCAGGCAGGGACAGCACTCCTCAAAGGCTTCTGACAACAGACACTTGTTGGTGACTTGTTCTTTTTGGTTTTTCAAGCCAGGGTTTCTCTGTGTAACAGTTCAGTTCTGGCTGTCCTGGAACTCACTCTGTAGACCAGGCTAGCCTCAAACTCAGAGATCCACCTGCCTCTGTCTACCAAGTGCTGGGATTAAAGGTATGTACCACCACTGCCTGGTTGTTGGTGGTTTCTTGTGGGAAGCTATATTGGACTGGTTTAAATAGACAAGAATGGGGAGGGAATGACAAGAAACACCCAGAGGCCCACCTGCAGAAGCAGTATGGTCCAAGTCTCACAGAGGAACATGTTCCCAGGGCCATACAGGAGAGGACTGGGGACAGGAGCTCAGCCAGGAGGAGCCTTGATGTCACTAACACTTGCCACCCATCAGCCTCTTTCCTTTTCCAGGCCCAGGGCAGCCTCACAGGACCACCCTCAGGGCCCCACCTATGTCTGGTTTCTCCCACCATCTGCAGGATCCAGGACTGGGTACCCACGCCTGGTGCCCTTATGTGCTACACATCTGGAAATAAACATCTTGAAGCTATCAGGAACTGCCCCATTCCCCTATGACCTCATCTTGCCAAAACTGAGGGTTGGGAAGCCCCAGCCCAGTTCTGGGGACAGAGTATGGCTTCACAGTCACCACCCAAGTTCAAATCCTGCTCTGCCTTTCTTCTACCTAGATCCTGGTAAGCTACACTCCTAATCTACGTGTAGGAAAACTGAAGCTTTGGAAAACGAAGCCTTTGGCCAGCAATGCCCAGAGAAAGTAAGACCGAATTGAACCCAGGGAGTCTGACCTCCTACATGGTAGTCTTTCTTGGTATCTATGGACCCAACTCCCTCAGGGTCACATAAACCAGTTTCATCTTCAAAAGCAGCATCAGGGAGAAGCTAAAGGGGACAGATGACAGCCACAGCCTTGAGGCTGATGGTTTCATACCCACTCTAGTCACACTGGGCTCCTAAGTGGTGGCCATACCCCCAGCCTCCTGCTGAGTTGGAAGTGACTCACAGTTGGCAAAAGAGGCCTAGGACATTCTGTGACTTGGGGTCACCCCAGACTTCCAAGTTCCCGAGTCAATGGAGAGGCAAGATTCCAGTCAGAGAGATGGGAGACTGGTGTTGAGGACAGGCACAGGGCAAAGTCAGAGCTAGCAGCTCTTACACAAATAAAGAAACCCTGGCCTCTGGGTACATTTCTCTCTAACCTAAGCTGTGAAATATTGTGGGAAATTACCAATACGGAGTCAGGTAGAAATACAAGGGTATTTAATAGGGAAAAGCCTTTCTTACAGAGCAACCTAGCCAGCCGGCGTGGTAGAGGTCTGTACAGCAAGAAGCAAAGAGAAACCGAAACCCAAACCCCAAACTGCGGCCCCCCTCCGCCCCCCGGCCCCCCCCCTCACAAGCCTGGTCAGGCACCCCTGTAGCCAGCCCCTAAGAAGGCGTGGCTACAGCTTTCCCTACAGTGAAATGGCAATGGCGGCCCATCACCCAATCCTGGCATGATGTCACAACAGAGGAAAGAGGTCAGACCCTGGATCCATCCATAGCTCTGTGGTCTCTACTAGCAGCTATAGATCAGTGCATCACACATACACACACACACACACACACACACACACACACACACACACAGAGGAAAGGGCAGTTGGTGTCATAGCCACAAACAAGGAAGGTCAGTCGTTCTTCTACTCCATACCCCAACTCATCCCTTGACCCAATTGAAGTTCCCATTATGCCTGGATCCCACAAATAGTGGGTTCTAAGAGTCAAGCTTGGGTCCTCGTACTTGCACAAGCACTTAGTGACTAAGCCACCTCCCCAGACCTTCAGAGTTTTATTTTGTTTTTCAAGACAGGGTTTCTCTACGTATTCCTATCCTGGCTGTCCTAGAACTAACTCTATAGACCAGGCTGGCCTCAAACTCAGAGATCCACCTGCCTCTGCCTTACTAGTGCTGGGATTAAAGGTGTGTACCACCACCTCCTGGTTTATTTTTAATTTTTTAAGATGGCTCACCTGGCTTGTTGAGAAGGCACCGAAGTTCAAACTCCACATCAGCCTGGCGCTGCTCCAGGTTCTGCTGCTTGACACTAAAGGGTGGGACGAAGAGGAAGTAAACACTTCGGTGAAGTACGCCCGCCCCCCGCCCTGTGCTGTCATGGCAAAGGGTGAAAGTTCCCAGGGCAGCCTGGACTCACACATAGATGAGCTCTGACTCTCGCCGCACTAATAGGTGTTTCTCGTGGATAAGCTTGAACCAGTCCACCAGCATGTTGTCCTCACTTCCCTCTGGAAGCCAGATCCCCACTGAGGCCAGAGCTCGCAGCTGAGGGCCCCATCTGAGGGCCTCCCCCCCCCAAGCTGAGGGCCTCCCATCAACCCATAGCCCTCAGCCAGCTCCTCTCTGCAGTTCCCGCACCATTTGCTCCTCCACGCAGCTTCTCCTCCAGCAAAACACCACGGTGTTCCAGGGCATCCAGCTGGCGCTCAATAGTGTCCATCTCACCATAGATATCCTCCTCAGGGATATACTGGTCAGCCTGGACCTGCCCAACAACAAATACTCTAGTCACCTAAAGAGAAGTGGCCCTCCCCTCCAATTCACAGGGTCCTTTGGCCACTGCAGGCTCTAGGAACCCAGGTCCTGTCCCACAAGGTAGCATGACAAGAAAGCAGCATAGGAAGGGGCCAGAGAAGGGGACAGGCATGACCAAGGGTCTGACAGACTCCCAATGAGATGTCCAAGTTCCTACTCCAGAAGGAAGCCTCTCCCTTTGCTGTCACTCAGGAGTTCCTTATGAGACAGTGAGCTAGGTTACAGAGCACATTGGGGAAACCTTCTGAGAAGCATAAGTTTCTCCTAGCACCATTGCCCCTGGCTACATAGGATACCTAGGCTAATAAGTTCAACCTTCCAGCAGAGCCACCAGATGACTAAGGCTGCTGAGGGGAGGGTGCTGGGTCAGCTGGGGCTCAGAGTGTCTTGTGGTACCTTGCGTTTGATGAGTGGAAAGCCATGTCCAGGGGCAGGTGGCCTCATGGGCTTGGCTCCTTTGGTGGCCTTCCTTACGGTTGGAGATGCGGAGGGAGACGGCTTCCGGTTGAAAGGGTTCTCCTTGCAGGAAGACTGAAGGGAGAGACATGACGGATGGTTAAGTCTGAGAAGTCTGATCATACAGGAACATGAAAGCAGGCCAGGACCCAAGGAACTGGAGGATGAGGACCCAGGCAAGAACAGACTCCCCCAAGTTCCATCTCTCCACACGCATTCAGCAAACGGTTCCATTTCCAGAGTGCTTCCCAGTGTCAGTTCTCACACCATACACACTTTCTGCTCCAGAGCATGCCGGAGTAAAAAGTCTTTGTATGAGTCCAGTGTGGGAGCGCACCCCAGTAATTCCAGCACTCGGGAGGCAGGGGCAAGGACAGATAGATCACTGTGAGTGTGAAGCCAGCCTGGTCTACACAGTGATTTGCAGGACAGCCAGGGTTATAAAGTGAGACCTTGTCTCAATTAAAAAAAAAAAAAATGTAGGAAAGGGGGTGGGTTAAAGGTTGAGCTTAGAAGGTCGGGAGTTAAAATAATCAGAATGCTTTTTTTTTCTTTTTTTTCTTTTTTTTTTTTGGTTTTTCAAGGCAGGGCTTCTCTGTAGCTTTGGAGGCTGTCCTGGAATTAGCTCTTGTAGACCAGGTTGTCCTTGAACTCACAGAGATCCGCCTGCCTGTGCTTCCTGAGTGCTGGGATTAAAAGTGTGCGCCACCACCAGATCAGAATGCATTTTATATGTGTATGACATTGTTCAAAAAAAAAAAAAAACTAAATAAAGTTTAAAAAAAAACAAAAAGAGTGCTTGTCTTAAGAGTGCAAAGCCTTGGGCCCCAGCCCTGGTGCCACACGTGCTCAGAAGCCTCGCTTACTGCATGCCCACTTACAGCTGAGCTCAGTACCGAGAGGTTAAGCACCCAGCTCCTTTGTCAGGCAATGAGGTTAAAGGCCCCGCCCTCAACCACAGTTACAGTCTTCACAGCCAGCTTTCTCCAGTGGAGACTGGAAGGCTCAGAGAGGCACAGTGCCCCCACCTAGGGTCACCCAGCCAGGAAATCCAACAGTAGGACTCCTACCCTCCCTCTACCTAATAGATGAGAGGCGATTCTCCCCTCCCTACTCTCTCCTGCCTACCACAGACACATTTAGAGCCTGGCTCTGCATCTTTCTTTTTCTCCAGAGACCCCTCCCCTTGGAGACCAGGGCCCTGCCTTCCCAATAGTGCCCTTCAGCTTAAGGGAAGCAGGGCTTGCAACTGAGGCCTCAGCTTCCTTGCACCTAGTGTGTGGGGGAGGCCATGCCCTTAACCAGTCAGAACAAGTACCTAAGCCAGAGCTGGAAATGGTAGGACAAGCATTTGGTTTCATGAGGTAAGAGACACAGTGGGCCTGAGGCAGAGACTGTGTGGTCACCCACAACCTGTTTCCTGCTCCAACTGCCTCTGACATTCTCTCCTAATCCCAGAGGTGAGAGTGGGATTGGGTCCCTTAGGAAGACCCTGGGATTCTGCCCTCTCCCTCTGTATCAACACAGAGAGGGAGTCCAGTAAAGCCCATGGCCTCTGAGTCCTTCATGCTTTTTCAGCCACAGAACATTCTTTTTTTGTTTTGTTTGAGACAGTGTTTCTCTGTGGCTTTGGAGGCTGTCCTGGAACTAGCTCTTGTAGACCAGGTGAACTCACAGAGATCCACCCGCCTCTGCCTCCAGAGTGCTGGGATTAAAGGCATGTGCCACCACCGCCTAGCCCACAGAACATTCTTAAATGTGTGTCCTGTACAACCCATGCTTTCATTACAAAAGTGGAGCTGGGCAGGCTGCAGACATGGCTTAGTGGTTTTTTTGTTTGTTTTGTGTATGTGTATGTGTAATACCAAAAACAAGATTCCTTCTAAAAAGTTGTATTTTTCTCATTGATGTGCTTTGGCTTTGTCATTTTTCAGGATGGTGACAAGGATATTCTAGCCCTCTTTTGTATTGCTGGGCACTGTGGCTGGGCAATGAAGCTGGCTTGTGTTATGATAATACACGTGGGGAACCTTGGCAGATTCCATGGCAGGAAAGGATGACCGAGGCAAGGTGGTGATGGCGGGGGACACAAGACAGAGAGAGAAAGAGGACAAAAGAGGGAGACAGGAAAAGTCCTGTCTGCCCCAAGGGTACAGCGGAAAAGAGAGCGGTAAAAACCTGGCTTAGTGGTTAAGAGCACATACTGTTCTTCCAGAAGTCCAGAGTCAGGGTCCCATATCAGGTGACCACAGAACCCGTTAACTCCAACTCTAGGAGGTCTGACACCCTCTGGCTGCTACCATAGGCACTATGCTCGCATGCACAAACCCATACCTAGATACACATAATTTAAAATGAGATACCCAGAGGTTCTTCAGAACACTCTAGAAACTTGGCACTAATCAGTAGCTTACTGTCAAAAGCAGGCCTTCTCAACATCACACAACAGGTAGCAGAGCTGGAAGTACCACACCTACAACAGGAGTTGTGGCCCAGGGAGGGTCAGTCTAAGAAACAAGTGAACCTGGAACTACAGAACCCGTCAAAAGCCAAATGGCCAGACAGTGGCCCAGCTAGACCTTTCTCGTGCCCACTTTACCTCTGAGAGAAGACAGAGCCTAGCAAGGGTCTAGGGTTGGCCTGATCTGTCCTTCATAAGCATTCCCTCACAACTCATAAAAGAGGAACCCAGGAAGGTGTGCGTCCTGAGCCCCTAAGCCTGATGGGGCATTTCAGAACCTGCTGGCCAGACAACGGGCCAGTCAAGAAGAGAGACCACGAGGCCTGTGTGACCTCAGGAATCCAGGTGTCCCCCCAACACAGGACATAGTCAGCAAGGGCCAGTTGCTTCACGACTTCTTGGCAAGACTACAGTCTCTGGTGAAGGAGTCACCTTTCCTACCGTGTTTCACACCCATCACAGTTTGGAACAATCATATGCCTGTCTCCCCATGTAGACTGGGTGTCCCTAGAGGGCAAACACAGGGTCTTAATGAACATGCCCAATGCCTGGCATCAGTGAGGCCAGAAGGTGATGGGATAGACAAGGTGTGGGTGTCGGGCAGAGGTGTAGACAGACCCCACTGTCAGTAAACAGGCTGGTGAGCAAACAGACAGAGGGATGGACAGATACACAGATCAGAGTCTCACACAGGTAATGATGGGTAAGTCCACTCATTTGTGCCCCAAGACAAGCCCCACATCCACTAGCTAAAAGGCTGCTTCTGACATCCATGGAGCACTCACCTTGATCTGTAGCTGTGGGGATGAGCTCCCCAGGGAAGGGGCAGGGCTCCGGTCTCCAGCCAATAGGAAGGGGGTGGGGGTAGCACCACTGCAGGGCTTGGTGGCCTGAGTACTTGGGCTGCCTCTGGTCCTGGCCTGTGGCATTTGTTCACCACTAGGCTGCCCCTGTTCCCCAGAAGGTGATAGGGAAGAATTGGCCGAAGGAGTGACAGAGTTCCCAGATGTGCCAGGGGTACCAGGCATGTGCACGGCAGGGTCTGAGGAGCTCTTGGGTACAGCAGGCGGCTCCAAGGGCTCTGCATTGGCAGTGTGACTGGAGCTCTCAGAGGACAGGCTCTCCACACTAAGGGCTGGCGATGGTGTGGCTGAAGGAGGCTCTGAGTGTGACAGGCGGGAGGCATGAAGAACTGTTGGAGCAGAACAGCAGAAACATTCAAGCGGTGGATGGGACTTCTGTCCTCCCCCGACACACCTTGCTCCCAGAGCTGGGGTAGCCCTGGACACCAAGCTCTTCCCCATCCGGATAGGCAAGAGGTCAGAGAACACCAATCCTATTCCAGATCCCACATCACAAAGGCACTCAGCCATCCGACCCCATCTTGTACCCCTGATGCTCTAGTGTGCCACCTTGTGGCACATTTATGGCCCTAACTTCCTACCCAGAAAGACAGCTGCCTTCTACTCCCCCCTCCCATGTGCCCCATGTTCCTCTCACACCCAAGCCCACTCAAAGGCAAGCTGCTGGGGCAGATGAAGACGCAAGTACAGGGAAGGCAGGGAAAGGAGGCTGGCCTCCGTCTCTGGCACAGAAACTGGAAAGAAGGCAACAGCAGAGAGTGGGGGCAGCACCTGCAACAGCCAGTGCTGGCCCAGGCACTGCCAGGCACGGCTTTCTCCTTCTGCAGATGACATGGACTATGCCTCCACGGCCATCATTGTACTTCCTGGATGAAGTCAGATTCAGCAAAGGATTCTCCCTAGCTAGGGTCATCTTTAGACACAGCATGGTCCAACTTGAGCTCATGCCCCCATTACACCAAGCTCATCCAGCAAGAGGACCCAGGGCACAGATAGCAGAGCATTTGCCTCTAACTGTTCCTGGCAGGTGCTTGGTCCCACAGAGCTTTCAGCCACACCCCTAGGAGTGGGAAGGGGACCAAGAGTTCAAGACACATCTGAGGTTGGACCAAAACAGCATGCTGGGGCAAAGGGACCTGGAACTGACCCCCATCTCACACATGAGACAAAGGCCAGATGAGGGAAGGACCAAGCCCTACACAGCCAGGTAGGAGCCAAGCTGCTCAGTGGCTAGAGAGACAAGACACACGGAGGCAGGGTTCAAGTGAACCCCGCCTCATGCCTTTCAGAAGCCCAATGGAGGGCTGTGCCACGCCCTCCCTGACTTCCACACTGAATTGGCATAACAGGAAATGTTAAAAGCTGGGGTTCAAATCCTGCCTCTGCGGCTTCAGCACTGTGCCTCCCCTATGAAGTGGCAATAATGCCACCCTCTCCCAGCCTGCTGTAGGATGAAATGGGAAATCATACACCCACATTGTACAAAACATAGCAAAGCCCCCTGCACCCTCAGACCTAGCACTCACCAAGTGGGGAAGCACTAGGTGCTCTCGGGGCAGGGCGCTTCTTTGTCTTGGGGCTGCTGGTGGGGGTGATGCCATACCAGGGGTGTAGGGGCTTAGGCGTAGACTCTGGTGGGGCTGGGGCTGGGACAGGGCCTGGTACTGCTGGGGCTGACTCCTCTTCCTCCTCTTCCTCCTCAAAGGGGTTGTAGGGCTTGGGATCTGGCTCAGATACTGGGCTCTTCTGGGTCCTTTCTTCCAGGCCTCCATTCTCCACATGTCTGCTTAGTGGCCCAGGACTGTTGCTGGGGGGCAGTGGGGCTGGCTTCTTCTTTGGCTCTGTCTGCACCAGTGTGATCCATGGGGGGTCCTTCCTTGGTGCTGGCATCCTACAGGGAGGCCAAGGCAAGGGGTCAGCCTTCTGCCCTCTAGGAAGTTTCAGTCTGTCCCAGAGGAGGGTGACACTGCCCCCTCTGCTCTCCCAAGCCTAGCCCCAAGGTCAGGCCAGACACACATGGGTGATGGCTGTCACATCCCAATAGGGCACCTTGAAGCCCGAGAAGACAAGCCTTCAATCACACAGCTGCTGTCAATCCAGTCCCCAAAAAGGGACTATGTGACATTTAATGATGTCACCCATTTCTCTATGCCTCAGGCTCACCTGCTCTTTGGAGGCTTACCTAACATTCCATTTCACAGGGTCCAGTGAGTTCTACATCCCACCCAAGTGTGGTCACACACCAGGAACTGCACAAATACTCACTAGTAGGACACTGTGGTCCCTTACCCCTCACAGGTTGACCATCCTGACGAGGACAGCTCTCAAAGAGCTAGAAGCATGTCCTCCCCAGAGTGGCAGGCACAGCAGCTTTGCTTGTCCGAGCCTATCTGTATTCTATGAACAAGGCCTAGACTCCCATGTCATGCAGGAAGCACAAGCTTGAGGAAGCAAAATGACTCTAGAGGTGGCTATCCCCACTCAGAGCACAGGTCAGGCAGATCCGGGACACAGCTTTCCTTCCTCACCCAGAAGGAAACCTCCCTGTGGGCCCAGCAAACCCTTTCCCTACCTGGGCCCTAGAAACCCCCACTCCCACACTGAGGCCTTTCAGAGCCAGCATACCTCTCTGACAACTTGGGTGTCCCTCTTGGCCTGGGAATAGGAGGTTCCTGAAGTCTTCCTAGATGTGAAAAGACAATGAACCAGGCCTTCAATGGTTGCAGAGAGGCACCAAGAACCAGCCAGAGTGCTGGCTTTGCAAGGAGTGTCCTTGTGCCCTACCTGGCATGTCACAGACCAGGGTGACCACAGCCCAGTCCTAGCCAGCCCTCAGGGAGATTAGATAAGGTGGAAGGAGAATGGGAGAATGGTCAGTCAGAGGCTGCAGGCAGACTTCTGGCAGGCCCAACTGCATGTTAGCTGACAAGTACCAACCCAAATCCCTTCAGTCACTTCCGCTATACCAGGGTATCTACCCAGGTGCCATCTCCACTTGGAAACCTCCCTTGACTCCAACTCGCTGAACCCCACTCGGCTTTCTCCCATCTACTCCAGCAGTGTTTCTACATTCTACATTCTACAATCAGTTACGGATACCTGTGCCTGCCACTCTTGGACACTGGGTTTCCTCCAGGAATACACAAGCCTAAGCTAGACTCTAGAAATACTGGGGAGATTCAACTACACAAAATGTTTTGGTACAAGTCCCAGGAGGCTCTCTCCCTCGACCCTTCATTGCCTTTCCTGACCGAATGATAAGGGATGCTCAGCATATCTCAGGTTCTCATGAGCACACAGCATGAAGGTCATCCAAGAACACAGCAGGCCAGGAGTCCCCAATGCAGTTCAGATGAGCTCAGGGGCCCTAACCCCACTGCTCTCCCCAGGCCCCTTAGCTCTCCCCAAACAGATGACAGACACTCATGATGGGAATGGGAAGTTACTTGGTGCATACCTGGTTATGAACCAAGATATATATGACTGACGTCAGTCCCAGAGACACTCAGGACACATATATGTACATTTGCTACACTCCAAACCACAAGACAGAAACAAAACACACACACACATGGAACACAGGTGAGGCTGTGGTTTTGAGCTGTACTAGTTTGGAGAACTACATGGCATGAAAAGGCATAAGGTGAGTGGCACACACACAGATGACCCCATCACATAGCACATACAGGTGCCAGCTCAGAAAGCAGTTCACAGGGCTAGAGAGATGCCTCAGCAGTTAAGTTGGGCTTACGAGCTCAGTTCCCAACTGAGTTGGGGACAGGAGCTCAGTTCCCAACACCCAGATCAGGTGACTCACAACAACCTGTAACTCCAGCTCTTCTGAACTTTGGACTTTGTGGGCACCTAGAGTCACATGAACAGATACAAACATATACACACAATTTAAAATAAACCAAGGAAGGAAGGGAGGGAGGGAAGGAGGGAGGGAAGGAAGGGAGGAAGGAAGGAAGGGAAGGGGAGAAGGAAGGAGGGAGGGAAGGAGGGAGGGAGGAAGGAAGCTGATGCTATTCCTGGAACACAAGGCTACTATTTACATGCCCACAGGAGGGGACACATTCAGCCAGCATGCCCTGTCCAGCTGTACCCTCACTCACCATTCACAAGGCCGGTGCTGACACCCTGCTCCACCAAGCCATCCTGCTGCAGACTAGACCGTGGCCGTGGTGTTGGGGGCGTCAAGGCTGAGTTCTCAGAAGCCTTCCTGGGGGCAGGTGTGGGTCGGCCAACAGGAGGACTGGCCACCTCCTGGGGCTTGCTGGGAAGAGGTGGCTTGTTCAGGGTCTGGGGCTGTACCTCGGAGCTGGGCTGGAGGCCATCTGCCTTGGCCACCTCAGCCACACTTGGGCTAGGGTCACTCTCCTCTCCATCCTTGGCTTCTTCTGCTACCTGCTGCTGTTTTTGCTGTGGGAGGGGCCTAGTTCCTGACCGGCCTCCTGGGCCCAGCCTTGTGCAGCGCTCTGCACACACAAAGGTGCCTTCCTCTAGCCCACTGATGTAAGAGCCTGGGAGAAGTGTGCTGGAACACTGCCGACATCTGCAGGGGACAGAGCAGGAACTCCCTCAGCAAAGAACATTGGCCAAGCCTGGGTAAGTAAGTCCTCCATCAGAAATCAAAGTTATTCCCTCACTCCTTCCTTCAGCTGCCAAGCCCACCTTGGACTTTCCAGAAGAAAAAAGAACATGGCAACTGCCAGAATCAGGCGAGGACACTAAACCAAGTGAAATTAGAAACAGGAATTGTGAAACAAGCTTGTGCTGCAAGGGGAAAGAGGCCAAAGTGCCCCAGGGTTTGCTCTAGGGGAAGACTGCCACTAGTCAGTGACTCAGGAAAACAATTTGGCTCCCTACCTACCAGGTTTGTTTTGGTTTTCCTTTCACTTTGTTCTTCAGGGCTGGGAACCAAAACCAGAGCCTCAAAAAAAAAAAAAGCAAAAACAAAAAACCCCCACCATCCCCTGCACTATCCCCTGGGCCATAGCCCACCCCCACTGTGAGCTAGCCTAATGAATACTGGATAAGCACCCCACCACTGTGAGACACACACACACACACACACACACACACACACACACACA